CATCCACCCATCATCCATCCATCATCCATCCATCCATCATCCATCCATCCATCCACCCATCATCCATCCATCCATCCATCCATCCATCATCCATCCATCCATCCACCCATCCATCCATCCATCCACATACCGACCCATCTATCCATCCACCATCTTCTCCACTGGCTTACCTAACCTTCCATCAATGTACCACCAACCCTATTCACCTATCTACCCAACCACACACCCGTTCATCACTCTATCTATCTTTTCTCTCCATCTGTTTACAAATCCACCTTCCCTAAAACTCTATGTGGATAGTTCTGTAAACGGGGCAAGAGAAAATATAAAGAAGAGCTATGACCTTTCATGGGAGGTGTGGTCAGTAGCTAAGAAACACCAAGAGACCAGCAAGGCCTCCCTTGGATGATCAGGGCTAGGGCTGCCCCTAGCTCACAGATCTCCTAAATGTCCCACAGCGTTGTGAGTAGGCTATTACCCCCCATAGACACCTTTAAAGAAATGAAGTTCAGAAAGTCTTGGTGACTTGCCAGAGTCACACAAGAAGTCAGTGACTGAGTTCAAGCTGGACCCAAGTCTGTTGACTCCAAGTACAGGATTCATTTTCCTTATGTCCACTGTGGGCTGTGGGACATGACACCCCACATAGTTCTGATTTCTGTCATCCTGGCTGTCATCCTTTATGACGCACATGACTATGAACACAGGGAAGTGCACACATGTGTATACAGCCACATACATGCAAGCATATTCCCTAAAGCACACATGCTCACTGTGGCAGCTGTGACAGGTTGACCAGACTTGAATATGTTCCTGTCTGTGCCTCCTTTTGTCCCAGGCTTGACCAACCCTGTTCTTCCAGCCCAAATCTGTAGACACAGCAACTCTTGCACCTTTCCAGATACATGCCACCCCATCAGGCCTCCCTTGGCATTGAATTTCTGACCCCAGGGCCACCTCAGCTTGCTTGATCACATCTGCTCTGTGATGCGTGTTTTCCTTATCATAAGCGAGCACGCAAGCCCTGAGCCACATCCCTGACTCCACAGTCCTCACACATCAGCTTCTCCCCTGAGTTTCACGTTCACAGCAGGGTGCCCAACCGGGCAGGATTGTAGCTGGAGACTTTTCTCTAACCTGCCTGGTCCCGCTGGACTGGTTTTCTCTCCCGCCTGCTGGTCCCTGCAGCTGCGTGTAAAATAATCACTTGGAGGCCCTAATATTAATTATGATTGTTTGACCAGTGGCTCAGGCTTCTTACTGGCCTTTGTTTACCAATGGTAATAAAACATACGGCATACAGAGGGGGCATCCCACATCACGGGATTATCCTCCTTGCAGAGACTGAATACCAAGAAGCCTCCCGGGGGTGGGGAGGGAACTGAAGCCCTCATCTGTCGCTTTTCTCTTCTATAAACAGCCAATCCCGCCTCCTGGTCTGCCACTGCTCACTCTCAGGAGGAGAGAGCAGAACAAAGAGTGTCCTCCCGTGGACGCTCTTGAAGACAAAGCCCTCCATTCAGCCTGTGACCTGCAGGAATAGCTGGGGACCCCACAGGGCAGGGATTGGAGAAGGCAGTAGCCGGGTTGTGAGGGAAGGGTCACTGCTATAATGACATCTGCCTCTTCCCCCTACTTTCTCCACCAACAGGTGTGCAGCCCCCAGACAGCCTCCTGACTCTGACACTGGCCTGTGTCTTGGCACTGATTGGTGGAGTCCTTGCTTACCTCACCAGGTGAAGCTGATAGACCTGGCTCAGGCTAATGGGGCCTCCATTAGCAACCAACAGGGGCTTTCCCCACCTCTGCTTCCTGATCTCAGGGCCTACTGCCTCCTTTCCCTGCCTTGGCTCCACCCAAGAAGAGCCAGGAGCCCTGGCTGCCTCCTGAGAGCTCTGCTTGAGACTTGCAGCAGAAGCCTGTGGCTTAGGACGAGGCTCTGCCTCTGAGCTTCAGGCTCCTGTTTGTACAGTGCCAGACTAGCCAGATCCAGCCCAGGGATTCCCCCAGCGTTACAAACACTTCTTCCCTCTGTGTGCCTGAATTCAGAAGCTCCAGAGTCCCCAGTCATATCCGCTCTCACCTCTAACAAGGAAACAGGTGTAGGCGTCAGTCGCCCTCAGGGAAGTTGCAGACCTGATCCCAAGGTCTTTGAGTAGACTGTATTCAGTGCTCCCCAGCCCTGAAGCCGACAAGGGAGGAGATGTGGAAAGACTAGGAGGCAGGTGCTGAGCCGGAGGCGGGGCAGAGAGTCTGACTGAGGCCCGGCTGTCTCTCACTTCCAGGTTAGGCCTCCGGCAGCTGCAGCTGGTACGAGGTCCCCATCGGATCCTGCTGACGGCCCAGGATCTCACCTTCCTCCAGATGACCCCCAGTCGGCGGGTGGGTGGGCAGACCTCGGCTGGGTGGGCAAGTAGGCAGAGGGACAGGTCGGGTCTGGCGCCTTGATCACCCCTGCTTCTGTCCCAGAGGCTGCGTGGGGACGGTGGCAGCGAGTCAAGAAGTGTGGTGGAAGGTGGGAGCCCAAGGTCGGTGATTCAGGGGTCAGCAAGGAGCCTACCGGCCGTCCTGGAACATCCCAACGTGGCCCTGTACCAGGTGAGGGCTGTCGCTACCCCACACTAGGCCCGCAAGACTGTCTTTGGCTTCTGGAGTCTCCTTCTGTTGCGACTTTCCTGGTTTCCCTAGCACACAGACAGCAGCCCCAAACAGGACACCTCCCTCCCATCAGCCTGCTGACCTTGGGAATCAGTCAGTCTCAGATGCTTGGCTTTGTTTGGCCTTGGCCCAGAAGACCCAACTGCTTAAGCAGGGAGGGCCCCAGACCCTAAAACCCAGGGTGAAGGCAGAACCCAGTCACAGACACCTCCAGCTCACAGGGAATCTACAGAATCAAAGGTCAGAAAAGCACTATTACGGTTGCTGAGAACACAGCCATTTTCCAGATGCCGTTAGTCTCAAATTCAAGTATTTACTAATGTATGGTTTTTTGCCTATGGCTGCCATGGTTACTGAACTTGGCTAATTGTGTCCATAGGAAATGGTGAAAGGCTCTTGTTGTTTATTTTCCACCTTCTCCCTGCCCCTCAGCCACCCCACCTTTTCCTTCCAAAGGGGGGCTTTAATAACACACAAAGCACAATAGCCAGCAGGCTGCAGTTGAGGCTGCAGGTGAGGCTGTGCGGAGGCAACCCACTAGGGACCAGCAACCCGCTAGGGGCCGGGGAGGGGCAACTCACTAGGGACCAGAGCTGGGGGGGCTCTGGGACCACGCTGGAAGCTGGGCCTCGTCCTCTCCTGCCCTTCTGGAATCCCTAGTCACAGCTTGAGTATCACAGGTGCCTGAGCCCTTCACGATAAAGCTGGCCTCCAGCCAGGACCTGCTCATTGGCTGTACCTCATTAGTCTTCATGGGTTGCCTGCCTCTCTTTGCAGAGTCCGAAGCTGAGGCCTGGGTTAGAAGTTACCTACCTAGGTTTCAGGGTTCCAGGGAGGTAGAGTGAGGAGTGGGCCTCGGGTCCACCAGCAAGAGCCTCTCCCTCCCTGAGTCTCAATAAAGTCTGCTTACTGCTCCCATTGACCAGGGTATGCCCAGCTCAGAACACAGAAGAAGGTGACATATAGGGTAGCCGCTAAGTGCAAGAGAAGATTGGCCTGAGATCGCCCAGCTGGTGAACTAAAGCGGGCAGGCTCTTGTTCTTATGTTCACGTCATATTTATTATTTATATTTTCTTTAGCATCCTGACCACAATTATCCCTCTCCACTCTCCTCCCAGTCTCCCCACACCAATCTATTCCTTTGCCTCTGTTTCTTTCCAGTCCTGGAACTCACTCTGTAGACCAGGCTGGTCTTGAACTCACAGAGAGCTGCCTGCCTCTGTCTCCAGAGTGCTGTGATTATAAAAACAAAACAAAACAGAACAAAACCCTCTTGTTTTGCTTAAACAGGGAGACTGGGTATGGCTAAAGAAGTTTGAAGCAGGCTTGGCTCCTGAGCTGCGGCCGAGCAGACTCAGACTCCTGAGGAAGGTAAGACCATAGACAGAGGGGTGCAGGGGACCAGAGAGGCATGTGCTCAGGATACCCTCACTGGTCTGGACTGGTCCTTACTCCCTGGGCAGGCTTTCATTGTTAGCACTGCCCAGTGACAGTTAGTCATCACCACGGTCACCATCACACACCAGCATCCCACAAGTCATGTTGCTATCCCAGCATAAGCCTTATAGCTCTCTGGCAAACTCTTCGCCCCCCAGCAATGGAATCTGGGTACCACCAGGGGTCCTCAGCCTGTACCTGCATCCCTGTATCCATCCCTGAATCCATCCCTGTATCCATCCCTGAATCCATCCCTGAATCCATCGCTGTATCCATCCCTGTATCCATCCCTGTATCCATTGCTGTATCCATCGCTGTATCCATCCCTGTATCCATCCCTGTATCCATTGCTGTATCCATCGCTGTATCCATCCCTGTATCCATCCCTGTATCCATCCCTGAATCCATCCCTGTATCCATCCCTGAATCCATCCCTGTATCCATCCCTGTATCCATCCCTGTACGTGCATCCCTGTATCCATCCCTGAATCCATCCCTGTATCCATCCCTGTACATGCATCCTTGTATTCATCCCTGAATCCATCCCTGTATCCATCCCTGTACCCATACCTGTACCTGCATCCCTGTATCCATCCCTGTATCCATCCCTGTATCCATCGCTGTATCCATCCCTGTATCCATCGCTGTATCCATCCCTGTATCCATCGCTGTATCCATCCCTG